AATTAATTAAATGAAACCAAACAGGAAATTAATTAAATTTTAGCATAATTAAATGAAAACATATTAAAGTCTTTTGAAGCCCCAAAAGACAAAGATAAACTTGAGCAAAGGAGAAGATATGGAATCAAACTTACGTTGAAGATGAGACTCTTGTTTGAACTTTCCCAGGCTAAACCGCCTCTGAAGTGTATGCACCAAACAAGGACCATAACGGCGATGGCGAAGGCGAGCAGGTGCGCGAAAAGCGCGAAAGGCAACGCTTTGACCCCGAGAGCCATCTTCTCCTGTTCTCTTCGTCGTCTTCTTTGTTCTACGTAAGAGAGAGTGCCGAAGAAGAAACTTCCGCAGGACTTTGAATTTTATCTATTTGTCTTTGGCTATGTCTCCTGTCGTACGTTTTACTGTACCCGCTGTTCCTTCTAATTATAGCCGGTCGGATGGAGATATCTATCGCAGAGGGATTGGTGCTACGTGTGATATTTGTGATTGGAGGATTTTATTCTCTCCTGCTTATCCATGTGAATTGTGAATGTAATCGAAATACTTGTCAAAGTATCACCACATTATTGCATCCCCACGCTCCCCGTATAGTGACTACTATGGTGGCTATGGTCATTAATTAGTGGGGATTAGCTTGTGTTCAAGGCATCTCCACGATATCCCTATATTTCATTTTCCGTTGCACCTAAAATGTATGCAAAAGTTGCTCTCTTTCAAAGAAAAAAAAATCACGATGTTATTGTGGAGCGACGTCATTGTGGCTTGTAAATTTAATTTGATTAATTATTTTTTTTTCAAGGAGAAATGTTAAAATATACACAGAAAAAAGATATGATTTTAAAATACAACTGTACAAAATGAAATACGAAAATTTTCTTTTGATCACGTAGGAGATACATCTTTTTAAAATTCAATAATTCATACGAATTAAATAAAACACCCAAAAAAATGAAAAAATAAACTTTTCTTACTTAAATTATATTTATAAAAATATTAACTCTTTTTATATTGTAAAATAAAAATTATTAAATAAAAAAATATCAATATCAAAAAATTCACTTTAACTTAATAGTTACATTAAACTACATAATATATATTTTTTTAATATTTTAACTTTTTGCATTGACAACTGGGTACATCATGATTTTTGCCTTTTCATTGCTTTGACGTCCTAGGATTCACGCCATCAAACCGTAAGTCACGTTCACTAAGCGAACTTTCCAGGCCTCTCCTGGGCAGTCCTTTGCTCTAAAGGCTCGGAAGGGAAATGTAGACTTTGGCTTGGACCTCAAATGCCACTGGGATGTACCAGGCGGTTGATTCAAGATGGGCCCAGCCTGCAGACACAGAGAGAGAGAGAGATTAAAGACCCAAATTTGTTCGGTAGTACTTGAAGGCTGCCTGGTGCCCTGACACAGTCTCGTTCGTACAGCCGAAGAGTGAAAACCGCTTATCAGATCATAATAACAAAAAAGAAGCCCTCGAGCTCGAGGGGAATGCCCAGTATCCTATTACAATACGAGATTTTAAATTAAAAAT